TATTTTTTTTTTTTGAAGAGCTTGATCTGAAATCTACAGCTTTAACGGTAGAATTGCAAAATTCTTGAAAAATTTTTACAAATTTAATGATTTCATCTGTTTTCTTTTGTAATATATATACAAGTAATTTTTTTAATAAAAAAATATCGATTTGGATCAACATAACAATTCATAAATATAAGATAACATGTTTATGGAATGTATATGTTCATGAATATTAGGAAAGATATAGTGTCAATGTATTTATGTTTATCTCGAGGTTAAGTCTTTAACTTTATACATCTGTCTTTTTTCATTTCATTTTAAGAAAATTCATTTCATTTTTAAAAAAATTTTGTTGTTTAAGACATTCAGAACCAAGAAAAGCAAGAAGGCCTATGAGCGAACGCTGGGGATCATTGTGTTCTAAAACAGAAAAGTTTAAACCAAGATTAATGCTATACTAACCTAACCAAGTTTTAGAATACATTAGTGCCTTGAAAACATAGTTCAGCAAAACCTAATCTTTCTTTTCCTAATTTGGCAAAATGGGTAAACGGATGCTCTTCGTAGGCCTTTGTTTTATTAATAATCAAGTGTGGTTGACGGGTTCCCGATGAATGATCAGGTGACGATGATGCCTGGACAGCCAGAACTAGGTTCCCCTTCAAGCAATATGCAGGCTGTGTCGATATCTATAAAAAATAGTTGGGAGCAGCCTCTTCTACTATTTTCGAACAAACAGCCCCTCACACTCTGGGTGGAGTTTTTTTTTTTTTTTAAAGTTTACCACTCAATTTAAAAAATATTTATTTATTTAAAATTTTATATATTTAATAATATTACTAAATCTGCTAATTTGTTTATAATTTCGTCGACAGTGCTGTCAAAAAGTAAATTTTTTTGAAAAATTTATATATTAATAATATTTAAATATTATTTCAAAAAATAATATTTAATTATTATTTAAAAATAATTTATATATTAATAGTTAAATACTACATAAAAAATAAAAAAATTATTCTATAATTTAATATTTTATTAAAAGTCAAAATTTAAACTATTTCCTCTCCTAAAATTTCAAATCCTAATAATTCATTTTCTACCTTCATCAAAGAAAAATTAATTCGTATGACTCAATTATTTTTTTTTCAGCAATGGACTTAGTGATATTTGAAAATTAACTTGAAAACTCTATTGTAAACTTGCATTTAGAGGAAGAATTTATTGAAGTGGAATTAATGATTTTGCGAAAAAGATGGTTAACACAAATAAAAATATTATGTATCTTTTTATTTATTTGTTGGTAAAACCTATATTAATATTACCAATTACAACAGCGTAAGTTAAAAACATAAATTATGTAATCGAATGAGTTATAAGTAATTTAGTTCTTTAAAATGTTCGTCTTTTTCCAATTAATTAAATTCGCGTCCACTCTTTATTTATTTTATCTGAGTTTCAACTTTCAACTCAGCCACGGACTTAACACGTGCTTCTCCCCACTCAATGCTTTTGCAGATATGAGTCTATTTTTCTTAAATGCCGCATTACATGACCTTATTACAACAATTTATATATTATCAAGAGTACAACATAGGAAAAAGAAATAATGATGAATAATTGAATTGCGATATTTTGGGATAATAACCAAATATATAATTTGTCACCATATCAAAGACAGTAAATTCCCACCAAATTAATTACCATACCAATTCATTAAACTTTAGATACATTTCAGTTATCAATTTGGGCTTGTGCCTATAGTCTCCAAAATAGAGAATCAAGCCTAGGTCAGCTCCACCAAGGAAAATGATTGATACTCAAATTAGTAACCATAATTTGAATTTTCCACATCTAAAGTTCAATTTTGGTTAGGTGTAAGGTGAATGAAACAACGAAGGACTCTGGCTCACCAACATTCCTGAAATAGGAATATGCCATCGAGCCTTTTCACTTGCAATGAAGGGCACTTTTTCCCATCTCAGATTTTGCTAATGTGAGCTTCCGCGAAGGTGGTCCGTCTGAGAGTGGAGAATTCTCCCTGTCCCTATCGGTTCTTCCGTCATTCTGGGTTCATACTTTTTCCATCATTAATTGTTTTTTTAATAAAAAATCCATCAATAAATTAAATAATTAAATACTTTATATTATTTTTAATTAACATTCACAATTATTTAATCTAGAAGAACTACACGTTTCTCACTCGGTGAGGTCAAAATTTATAGTCAAATTTGATCCAAAGTGTTGTGTTTCTGGACAGCTTTTGAAGGGAAAAAACAAAAGATAAAGGAAAAAAAGTGTAATTAAATTGACATGACAATGCAACAATATGTATAGGTGGAGGGTTGTCTTGTGATTGTCTTATTATAGTTAGAAATTAAAAAGAAATTAGTGATCATAATAGCGATGTTTGGGCAGTTAATCAAGAAGGCGAATATATAAGCCCCACCAGACAGCTATACAGATAAGTGTCGGTCTTACGCCATGGGTGAAGTTAATGATTGTTGTTGGCTCACTGCCACCTGAGCTCATATTGGGCTAGACTTTCGGACCGTCTATTTCCAGATCTCACCGACCTAACACGAGCTTTCCTTCCACATTGCTCGAATTATAAATTACGTGGCATCCAATGGAACATGACCCTTTTTTATTATCTTGCTTCAAATTGGAAACCTGGCATTTAAATTCTTAGAAAATGTAAATGTACCATTCCTTCTAAAAGAAGAAGAAAATTGGGTGCAAAAGGAAAAGGAGCAGGCTGAAGTGGGAGGGAATACCCATGGCTTCTTCACCAAATCAATGTCTCCAATATCGAGCAAAGTGAGACGTACAATATGAAAAAAAATGAAAAACTTATTGCTGTGTACGATCACAGCATTATCACTTGCTGCTTTTTTGTGGCCAATGGAAATTTACATCCCAAAGAAATTCATTTGTTTATTTTTTGAATAATAATAGTGAAACATCCCATGAGAAATTACCTACAAGATGATGTCAGATTGCTCTATTCTTTTTAATTCCTACTCACATTGCACATTTGCAGCAGCATTAATATGGCACTGTGGGCATTTTCATCTTGGATTTGATTTTTGATGAGATGTGGGCATTAATTTGCTTGTGCTCCTCCACCAACATGATATATAGTGGAATGTGCATCAGCTGCCTGCCACAGCTTGTTTAAGACTTGAGATCACTTCTTTCATGATTACATCCAAAATAATCTTAAAAGGGTTACACTGATCAGTCGCTTTTCTTTTAGTTTTCGACTTAAGATTTGATAATATTAAATTTTTAAATCAAATATTTAATTAAAATTAATTGAAAATAGATAAAAAGACATGTGTTATATATATATATATATATATTTATTTGTCCCATATACCTCTAACTTAATTAATATAGAATTTTTTTTTATCACCATTCTAATATAAGAGTAGGATTATCAATAATATCCTATCTCAAATTAAATTTTAAAATTATTATCTGAATTCGCACCCGAATATCTTAAGCAGTTGGACAATAGATCGGTACTCAAAATCACTATTTGAACCTATGAGATATAATAAACTCGATTAAAAAATAGTCTAATCTTAATTAATTATGTCAAATAATACTCGATTGTAAGATACTGCTACCTCTAAAACTTTATGAAATTATGTCAGGTTGGGTTGAAATTACAACACTATATGTTGTCTTGAATTATCAAAAAGATGGTGCTACGCAAAGACCATTTGGAATTAACCTGTCTTATTAGTTGCAGTCACCCAACTGAAATAAATAAATAAAAAGGCCTATATTTCCAGTTTAACGTGGACACTCCAAGACATGAAACGACTACTAAAATCAAATTCAAAACCGTTTATTAGAAAAAAAACAAAATTGATATGAAGATTTTATTTTCTTTTTTCTTATGAATGATTAAGAGTGTGTGAATTATCCATTAGCAAATAATGTCCTTCACACCTACCTATTTGTCCTCTAATATTTTCTTTCTCTAAAATCACCAGTAGATTTGGACTTTAATTACACATCCAAATCAATACCTTCAGCAAAAATAATACAAATATCTTTAATTTCCTATGCGACATTAAATAATTTTTTCCTATATAACTATTTATATATAAAGCAATAATAATTGCAACTACCAACCACTGTGTCAGTATACCATAGATTGGACTAGGGAAAGAATTCATTGGGTTCTTCAACTGCTAGAGGTTGCTCCAAAAATTAGGGAAAATAAACAAATATATTTCACTATCAATGATCTATTTTTCTGCCTCACCAAAGAAAAGAGGGAGAAAAATAGTGTGACAGCAAGGCAAATTCAATTAACTTAATTTATTCATTCCTAGCAATGAGGAAGAAGTAACTAATTTTCAATCACATTAATCTGGCCTTTTCCATCAAAGCAAGTTGTATTAGGAATCACTCCGAAGCATTAACATCATTGCATTGGTGTGAACAACTGAAAGTAACAAATAGGGGGCCATTTAAACACTTAGTTCCACTACTGTTAATTAATAATTGCAATTAGCCAAACCATTAAAGTCTAAATTACAGTCATTGTGGGGTACGTAATGTCAAGATAAAGCTAAATGGGTGTGAGCATGAAGGCGACCAATGGATGGAATCGAAGGACGCATTATTTTATCATTGACGCTAGTGGGTTGATTCATTTTCATTGAACAGAGGAACTAGCTATAAGGCCAAATTATGGGATTGTTTGATGCAGGCAGTGCATCGAGGTGGAAACTCTTCCAAAGCTTGGCATACATGTCTATGATGATTCAGCGCAACAAAAGTGTGGTAATATTGGTAACATTATGGTATGATTATAATGTTGGAATTATATGTATCACAGAGAGAGAGAGAGAGAGGAAGAAAATGGCTTTGTTGCGGTCCTTACACGTGCAGATTAAGCCAAATATTGCACAAGCCACCAATTCCATTTGGTATCTTATCGCAACATATACATCAATCAATGCAGGTGGTTTCCATTAGCCATAAAGCCGGTTTTCCCTAGAGGCCTCATTTCACTTCAGAGGGTCACTTCTTCTGCTATTGTTTATGAGGACCACCAACCACTCTCCCACACCCACAATAATATCAACTCTCATCTCGTTCTCTCCTTTTTGGCCTGGCCTTTCCCTCCCGGCTTCTCTGCTTCCATTTAATCCAAGAGGAACTCTCTTTCACTGTCGTTCTCTCTTTAGTAATTTAGCTGATCTTTAAAACCCCACCGTAGAAGTGTCTGTAGAAATGGAAATGAAATTTACTCCAGAAGCTTTTAAGTTTACATCTAGCATGAAGAGGGTTCAGCAGCAAAACGAGCCGGGCAAGGCTGAAACTCCACACTCTGAATCAGATGAAGACACAGCTCTCAGTTTGAGTAGCTTGTCAAAGCTTATAATTCCTCCTTTGGGTGTTTCAAGCTATAACCAGAATCAAATAAAGTCCAAAGGATGGATCATCTCTCCTATGGATTCAAGATACAGGTAATACAGCTGATTGCTTGAGATGAATTATTTTGTCAAATAAAGATAATTTCTTATGTGAAGAATACGATTTGTTGGTACATGAAAAGCAAGCTTATGTTCTACAACTTTGTTACATAAATGCATGCCCGCATGCACATAGTCATGTTCAGTTAGATCAGCAAATTTACCTGCACACACACAAAAAAATTCAAAAAGGTGCACGTGAGATAGATGGTTAAAGCATTTACCTAACTTAGTGGAGATTACCCTAGCAATACCTGTAGCATAAATTTTCTCAGCTTTTTCTTTGTTTGAGTCGATATGGGTTTGACAGATACTTTGACTTAGTTCGGATGTGAGTTGACTTGATGCCTAGTTCTCGTAAAAACAGAAATAAGCTTGAGACTTCAAAATTACCTCAAAACTCGGATTTTGTGTAGTTTGATCTATTTCTAGAGTTAAACTTTCTCCAAATTCCTTGAATTTCCTGTCTTATATTATTACCTGCGTGCCCCATTTCTTGATTATACTTAACCAAATGGGTAGCAGCTGATCTTACTTCTTAATCACTTTTGGCATCTCACCAACCCCAAATCAACTATTCTCAGCAAAAAAGGAAAGAGTACGGTATGCTGGACTTTTAGTTTTGAAGCACTAGCTTTTACGGAAAGCTAAACCCGAAAGAAGGAAAAAGGAGTGGAAAAGGGTCAAAAGTGAAAAACGTGGATGTGTGCGGAGACCTTAGCTAACACTAGTACAATAATTGCAACCTTGCTTTTTGCAAGCAAATTCAAGTAAATTAATTAGTGCTTTGACGTATGCAATGCAGGTGCTGGGAAACATTTATGGTGTTGTTAGTATTTTATTCTGCATGGGTTTACCCCTTTGAAGTTTCCTTTTTTAGTTCCTCTCCTCCAAGGAAACTCTACATTGCCGACAACGTTGTGGACCTATTCTTCGCAGTTGATATTGTCTTGACATTTTTTGTTGCCTACATTGATTCAAGAACCCAGCTGCTTGTCCAGGACTCCCAAAAGATTGCTGTGAGGTTAGTTAACTCAAAATTCTCAATTAAATGTACAGTCATGAAAGGAGGAGATCAGTTCGGACTTGATGCTTAATCAGTCAACCAGAAACATTCTAGTTCATTCGAAAACATATAAAAAATGGAAGAAAGATGGTCTGGTTATGACATGTATAATCTGCAAGAGTAGGTTTCTAAATTGGTAATGAAATGGAAGGAGAAATATAATCCCATGACAGGTTCACACATATTGCTTTGTCTCTTATCATATGCAACTTGCTGGACCCGCAACCACGTTCTTATGGTAGTACTGCTCTTCAAACTGATAACCCTCCACAAAAGCAACGAAAATGCTCTTCCAATTTCTAGTTCTGCTTTGGGACAGGGAACCAGAAGGACACATAATTATTTCAATAATTAAAGGAAATCTACTTTTTGCCATATTATCATAATATTTCTTTCAATAAAACAGAAATTGGGTCAATCGAGATTGTTGGTGGGCTTCAAGAATCTGATTTGCTGCAAAGTCCCATCTAGTCATCATTGCTCCAACTTCAACTGTACAAAGTGTAGAATCTTGCCAGCTACCCTATTCAGTCAAACTAAATTTTGCGTAGTTTACAAATATTTTTTGCATAGTGGGGATTATAGTGTTTGCTGTCTGCCGGCCCCGCTCCCAAAACCCATTTCTGAGCACATAATTTCACTTGGATTAGGATGATTCCCATAATTAAAGCGACTCATCCAAATGGGTAATTGAGAATTATAGGTTCTGCGAATAAAGAAAATTGATGGTATGGTCTTTGGTGGGGATAGGTACCTGTCGACATGGTTCTTAATGGATTTGGCATCAACTATCCCATTTGAGGCACTAGGCTACTTGTTCACTGGCAAAAGCAAAGTGGGCATCTCTTATTTCCTTTTAGGATTGCTCAGATTTTGGCGTCTCAGGCGAGTCAAGCAGTTTTTCACCAGGTTAATATTGCTTCATTTATTCCCTGGTTTTTTAAATCAGGTTCTGATCAAAAAAAATTTTTGTCACCCCTTACTTAAATCTTACGTTTTTCTATCTTTACTTGTAGGCTGGAGAAGGACATCAGATTCAGCTATTTCTGGATCCGATGTGCTAGGCTTCTAGCTGTGAGTAAAATTTGCAACCATTTTTCCTTTTGGGAAAGCAAAAAACATAACCCTAATAAGAGTTTCTGTTAACTTTTAATCTAATGGACACAGTTGTGACTTTCAAGCCAGTGCCCGTCTAGGCCACGAGCAAATTTGGCGATTGATAAAATCACGAAATAAAACTATACTTAAAATTTATGGAAACAGGCTGGTGAATCAGCCTGAGGCCTGTCTTGTAGGCCCATCTTTGTATGTGTTTAAGCCCACCAACCGGTAAAGTATGGCTCCATGGTTGAAAATATGAGAATTGTTTCATATAAAACACTCAGAATTCACCAATATAATGATCAAATTTATATTGACTTGAATTTTTTTGGGATGCAGGTGACATTATTTCTAGTGCATTGTGCTGGATGCCTTTACTACCTGCTAGCTGACCGATATCCGCACCAGGGAAGGACGTGGCTGGGGTCAGTGAATCCAAATTTCAGGGAGACAAGCCTTTGGATCAGATATATCTCAGCTTTATATTGGTCCATCACCACTATGACCACAGTTGGTTATGGTGACCTCCATGCCGTGAACACTGTGGAAATGATCTTTATAATTCTCTACATGCTCTTCAACCTTGGCTTAACTGCTTATATAATCGGTAACATGACAAATTTAGTGGTTGAAGGAACTCGTCGCACCATGGAATTTGTATGTACTCCCGTCTGTTGCCTATTTAATTATGTCCATTCAATTAGGCTATATACTGAGTTTCATGGAATTTCTGGCTGATGGTGCAGAGGAATAGTATTGAAGCAGCATCAAATTTTGTCTCTAGAAACCGGTTGCCTCCTAGGTTGAAAGAGCAGATATTGGCCTATATGTGTTTGAGGTTTAAGGCTGAGAGCTTGAACCAGCAGCAACTCATTGAACAATTACCAAAATCCATTTATACAGGCATCTGCCAGCATTTGTTCTTACCAACAGTGAAGAAAGTATATCTTTTCGATGGTATATCAAGGGAAATTCTGCTGCACCTGGTAGGCGTACTACCTTTTGCTCCTGATCAAATTTGTACTGAACATTAGTTATAGCACAAGAAAATTTGACCTTCAGGAATGTCTCGAAATAATCAGGTTGCAAAGATGAAAGCTGAATATTTACCACCGAGAGAGGATGTGATCATGCAGAATGAAGCGCCAGATGATGTTTACATCATTGTGTCCGGAGAAGTGGAAATCATTGACTATGAGATGAAGAAAGAGACGGCTGTTGGAACTCTGCGTTCTGAGGACATCTTTGGAGAAATTGGTGCACTTTGTTGCAGACCGCAAAGATTTACATTTAGAACAAAGACACTTTCCCAACTCTTGAGGCTCAAAACCACAGATCTGATTGCAGCAATGCAGACCAAACAAGAAGATAACCTTGCTATCCTTAAAAACTTCCTTCAGGTCAGTTGATTCGCTAGTTTCAAGAGTTTATTCCTCTCTTGTTGATTTCTTTAAAATGCTATCTGTTTTGTCTGAGAATTCTTTCTCTGGTTACTAACTAAAATCTAGTTATTCAGAGGACTCAAAGTTGAACATGTAATGTGTTGCAGCAAAACAAAAGGCTTGAGGATCATAAAATCGGAGATTTAGTAATGGAGGGTGGAGAAGAAGATGGTGATCCCAAAAACATTGCTATTAGTTTGCTAACTGTGGCCGATGCAGGCAATGCTGCTTTTCTCGATGAGCTTCTGAAGGCAAGATTGGACCCTGACATAGGAGATTCTGAAGGGAGAACCCCATTGGTAAGTTTCTATTATCAGTCCAGTCATGTACCTCAGATGAATGTTCATGAATTAGCAATTACAATAGTTAGTCTTGCCTAGCTCTCTACTTAGGACCTTGAGCTCAGACTCGAAGGCTTCAGCACTGATTAGTTTTCTTTATAAACTGGTACGATCAGAATAAATTCAACTAACAGAAACCATCTATAATTAGTAATTGCTCCTATCTTGTGTGATTCCTCAGCACATAGCAGCATCAAAAGGGCATGAAGAATCTGTACTGGTACTCCTTAAGCATGCTTGCAATGTACATGTACGAGGTAAAATAAGATGTTCATGCCTTAATTAAATTCATCTCAGGATAAATCAAATTCTTAAGATTATATCTTCTTTTACCATACGTGGCAGATATGAATGGTAACACTGCATTATGGGATGCTATATCCTCAAAGCACCATTCTATCTTTACGGTCCTATACCATTTTGCCACCATTTCTGACCCGTTCACTGCTGGTGATCTCTTGTGCACTGCTGCAAAAAGAAATGATCTGACCGTGATGCAAGAACTACTGAAACACGGATTAAGTGTGGATGCAAAGGATCGCCATGGATTAACAGCGTTACAAATTGCCATGAGAGAGAAACATGAAGACATGGTTAATCTACTTGTAATGAATGGAGCAGATGTCATTAATGCAAATACATATGAATTTTCTTCCATAGCTTTGAATGAAATGCTGAAGAAGCGAGAGATTGGCCATCGAATTACAGTAACTGATACCACGTCTGGTGAAGAACTACTGAAGAAGCTTGAAAGGGATGATGTAGGCATATTAGGCAAATGCAGAGGACTAGACCCCCTAAGGGTGAGCATTTATAGAGGTCATCCTCTAATGAGAAAAGAATCTTGTTGTATGGAGCCTGGGAAGCTAATTAGGTTGCCAGATTCTCTTGATGAGCTCAAGAACTTTGCAGGTTTGTACCAAGCTCAAACAACTTATATCTATATATCATTTTTATTATACAGCAAGTAACTCAATCATTTGTAACAGGTGAAAAGTTTGGGATTGATCCAAGGAATGCGATTGTAACAGATGAAGCAGGGGCTGAAATTGATTCCATTGAAGTGATCAGAGATAACGATAAGCTTTTCATTGTTGAAGAACCAATAAATTACCCTATGTAATCAAACTTAATCGGATCAGACAGATCAACTCTTCTTCAGCAGTATGCGTTCCACAAGGAAAGCACAACCTTATACAATTTGTACATTACTAGCCTCACATAATCAGGGAAATGTTTTTCTTCCCTTGGTTTATTGTTTTTCCTTCCGGGCCATCAGGTTGAAACTGCTAACGGTTAGAGCCCTTAACTTGCCTCTCATTTTTCTCTTTGGATGCTTTTTGTGTACGTATCCAAAGGGTGAATCGTACTTCAAGTAATTTTCATAAGCTTGAGAAATTAAATGATCACTTGATTCAAAGTGATGATGATCTTTAGTTGAACATGCTCAATGCAAGATTGCAATAAGACCAAAAAAAATATGCTAAATTAATCAAATCGATTCCGTAACATCGTGGCTGATCATCATTTTGTTTAGCTAATGAATGTGTTTGAAGTTGAGGAAGCCGTGGGTCTTGGACGTATCTTACAAGGCGCAAACAAGAAGAATTCCCGTACGTATCAGAAAGTAGATTGTTTTCATAAGGGTTGGGCCCCAAATTTTGTAATCTCTTCAAGTTGATGTTACAACACGTTATTGAACCACCGAATATATCATGCAATTCACTCTCGGGAGTGTTGTCCTTTCATTGCTTTGGTCTATTCCAACTAACGAGAGTTTTCCCTGATGAGGTTCCAGATGAATGAATGCTCTCTATATGATGTGAAACCGCGGTTGCTTTGTTTTATTCTTCTTTTCCTTGGTAATACTGTCAACAAGAGTTTAGTTTATATCTGTTGGGCGATTTCAGGAATTTCATTGTTATCGTGCCATGGCCCATTCCCAAGGGCACAACCCTTAAGAAATACCACTGTAAAGAATCAGTCGGTAGCATATATATATATATACATGTTGAAACATAATCATATTCCTTTTAAAAGTTAAACAGATAAATCTTAAATTTGATGCCTAAAATAGAATGTCGGTTCTTGGAAGAGAAAAAGAATCCACATTGTAAAGTGTAAAAACATAAATTAATTAATCTCTCCCATGCAAAGAAACCCCATCATCCCTACTCCCACTTGAATAAAAACTGGCCAAGATAAGGAGCATTCCCTTGGAGGAATACAGAGCCCAACAGCTCGAAGCTAAGTAGATGGGGAAAAGGAGTAGTTGGAGAAGTTGGGGGAAAAAGGTAAAGGAGCCAAAGGGCACTCAATTCAAAAGGAGAACCAAATTAAAATGGAAGAATGAGAAGGAGAATCTCAGTCAAAGTAGTCAAACTTTTACAGCCCACGGAACAAAATCTAACATATCATAGAATAAAGAGCTGCAAGATTGTTTTGATTGATTTACTTTCAACATGTCCATGTAGTATTAATTGTACTGAACCTCCCTCTGGGGAGAGTACTGTAAGTATATTTATAATGAATTTTCATGTTTCATCATTTTTGTGCTTTTTTTTTTCCTTTTGGCTCTCTCTTAAATTTAGAAAAATGAAGCCAACAGATTCCCAATCATCGCCTCCACTCTATAGGAAACATACATAATTGCACCCAACAATCCTTTTCACCATAGAAACCCGAGCTATTAAGCTAGCTATTGATCACTTCTACGCCTTTTTCTTCATCTTCCAATATAAATATCTGTCAATCTCCATCAAATTTTTCTCCCACCATACCATCTTCTTATTGTTTTTAATTTTTTTTTCTCACCTTCTATTATGGATCCTTCATGCACCACTTCTTCTGTCTTTGGCTTCTACAACTTGCTCACCCGAGGACTTGAAGAACTTGATTGCTCCTTCCTTTCTTGTAACTTCATGTCAATCCAATTCCTCCAAAAAGTCCTCTCTTCACTCCGATCCTTCCATTCCCAATTGACCGTTTTGGTTCAAAGGCTTCACCTTCCTGTAGGAGAAAAATGGCTTGATGAATACATGGACGAAAGCTCCAGGCTCTGGGAAGCCTGTGTTGTACTCAAATCTGGCATCTCCGGGATGGAAAGTTATTATTCTTCTGGTGGCAGTATTGCTTCCTCACTCGATCATCATCCGCACTTCAACCCACAGTTTTCTCGCCAGGTCAGTGCAGAAAAACATGACCAAAACATATTGTTAAACACCAAAAATTGTCCAAATAGAAGCGTTCCATCTAGGGTTTTCTTCCTTGTTTATATTAGCTAATGTCAATGAAGTTATTTTATGATCGTCTATTCTTGCTGTAGGCTATACGGGCAATCATTGGCTGCCAAAGGGAAATTGTAGGGTTGGAAGAGGAAAACAGAAATCTGATGGTAACAAGAGCAAGACAAGTGGCACTAAGATTTGATGAGAATGTTCCTGTAGAATCAAAGTTGAATGGTTTCAATGGTTTTCGAGGTGTTCTTTATGCAATGAGGAATGTTAGTTCCTTACTTTTAATGATATTGCTTAGCGGGCTAGTATATTATTGCCCTGAATTGAGCTTTGTCAATAGAGAGCATGAGGGGAATGTGATATTTGGCTCAGCTTTCATGGTTTCAATTGCAAGACTGCATCAAAGGGTATCTAATGAAATGGAACAAATTGGTGGGCAGCCAGGAATTATGCTTTACGAATTCAGGGAAGCCAGGATTGCCGTGGAAGAGGTAAGAGGGGAATTGGAGAGAATTGTGAAGTATGGATCAGAAGGTGAGATCCAAGACAAGATTAACAACTTGAAGAGTTGCTTTGGGTTGTTGCGATGTGGGGTGGAGACTATAATTGGACAGATTGATGACTTCTTTGATGAAATAGTTGAAGGAAGGAAAAAGCTTTTGGACATGTGCACTCATAGGTAGGTAGATAAAGTTTGGACATGTGCAGCTATAGTTAGAGAGAGAAGTGAAAAAAAAAAAACTCCAAAAAAAAGGTGAAAGGATGTGAAAGTATCAGTTGTTAAAGTGGCATCATGTCACTCAGTTTCTTGGTTTATGTTTCCCTTGTTTATTTCTCTTTTGGCCCTTTTAACATGTTTTTAAGTTTCAACTTATTGTTAAAATGTTGGGAGTCAAGTGTTTGCAGCTGCAACAGTCTGGAAGTTGAGAGGGAAGAAGCAAACTTTTTTCTAAGGAAAACCCAGAAAAATGGAAATGGCTTAAGGGAAGGAGAATATGATTCTTGCTTCGAAGAAAAGCAACATTACTATCTCAAGATACGAAAAAACAAAGAAGAATATATAAGACAGCCATTAGCTTCTACAGAAAGCAAGATCTTCCAATCCAGAGCCAGAGGGCAGATTCTTCTCCTGTTAATAGTTTAAAAAAAAAAATGTTATTCAGGAGGAAAAGGAAATGATGCTCCTTGAGTTCATGCTTGTCCAAAAACTAGAATCGGATCTTGTATTCAAATGTACAGAGATATGTTCATGAAGTTGATGAGCAATCTTCTTATCCAAAAACTTGAGGCAAATCAAGAAAATTATGCTTCTTGTTTGCCCCCTTTTATCCTTCTGATGAAAGAATTTCTACTGCTATTCTTCTTTATTTGTTTGATGAAAAAAAACAAAAAGATCAAAAATTAGAAGCAAATCAAGCTAAAATGCTCAATGCTTTTGCCACTTTTCATTAACAGTAGCAATTGTCAACTCATGTCCTCACTAAGTTGTCTTTTTCCATTTGTTGGAACATAGGTAAATTTTTGGCAATCATGAAGGAATTTTCACCTTGTGTTCCAGTTTAATTTGTAGTACAAATTTGAAGATTTAATTGCATGTCTATCATTGAAAATGTGCTGCAATTGCAATTAAGAAAACTAATGGGGAAATGATTTTGAGCATTCCTAGAACAAAAAAATCCCATACAGGAGAACGAACAATTAACATAGGAACAGCTCCCATGCAAAGGAAATTTGGATATTTCTCATCAAAACAAAAGATCCTTCTCATGTCAAACTTAAAAAAGAAAGATTATACCTAAAAAGGGATTTTGTGCTACCCGCCAACAAGACACTCTGAAAAACTAATGAGACAATGACTCATTTTCACTAATGTTTGAAAGGACTGGACTTTTTTGTTTATATATATATATATGTGGGTCAGACATCTAAACCTTCAACTAATTATGCAGCACATTTAACATTTGATTTGGTTTAATACTCTAGTTACTTGAACAGAAAAATACTTCTTTTCAAATATTTATTAACAAAAATATAATGCATGCTACAAACATTTAATTATAATTCAAGGAACTTTGAAAGAGACTCTACCCATCACTTTTTACAATAAGTTAAACTCTATGGTCTGATGCATTTCTGTATAAAGATTTGATTAAACTTAATACAAAGTAACATTATTATAAATATGAACATCAAAATAAATATTCCTTGGTGGCCGATATAGGCAAGGCAAACAGTTGGATTTTGGTGGCACTTTATAGTGGGAAAAGGAATCCTCCAATACTGCTATTTTGGCTGATTTTCTTGCCCAAAGCAAGAAAAACAGTGTCCTCATAAAATGTGGAAATGTTTCTTCAAACATATCTTTTGCAATTTCCATAAGAGATTCTCCAGAGTTGTGATAGTAAATGACTAATCATTTCGGTTGTGAAACAATGATGGAAAAAGTTGGGGGAGGGAAAGGACAACAGGAAAGAGAGAGAGAGAGAGAGAGAGATTCCTAAGTTCCTTCTTTTCTTTCCTTTTCTTTTCTTTTCCTTTTCTTTCTTTCTTTCTCCTTTCAAAAGGGCAGTTTTCTTTCTCACGGCTGCTTTTGTCTGATTCGTGTTTCGTTTGTGTTGAAAGCAATTGTGTTGTTGAGGTTGCTGATGATGAAAGTTCCCTCAAAGTTTCCTGTCTCAACTCAATCCTTTTCTACCCTTCTCCCCGTTTGCTTTTGATTCCTCACTTCCTTCCTCCTCTCTTGGTTCCCTTTCCTTCTTTTCGTTCTCTTTTCACTCCCTTTCCTTGAAATTATCTAAGAGAGGGCATCTATGAAAGTGATTTCTTCTGTTTTGCATTCAATATAACGAAACCATCCTCAACATGGATTGAATTGATAAGATTGACATGAATTTTTGAGAGAATAGATAAGGGAAAGGATGATGCTTATGTACTTTGTATGTTGAAACTTTAATTGGAAAGTAAAGTGTCAAGAAGTTTCAATTTTTACCTCAAAAGATCTGTTTAGACTCATCTTATTTTTTATTCATATTAAGATTCATGACATTTTAACTCACTCAATTATACAATATTCTCATTATATTAATTCTTTCATAAAAAAAAGATTTATTTTAACGCAGATCTTATTTGATCTCGATATCTCGAGATTTTATATTAATAAAAAATTAAATAAATTCTGATTCCATTTATTACGAGTCATACTTTCAATTTAAAGAATATATTTATTTATTTATTTATTAAGTGAAATAAAATTTTTATTTATAAATTTAAATTTTATTTTATCTTTTATTGTAATCATGACAAAAGTAATCAATTCTATACAAAATATTCTTGAAGGAAAAAGAAAAAGAAGAAGGAAATTCCTATATGGTATCATAGATAATTGATCTTTTCATTTTCAGAGATTAAGTAGAGACTTTATATTTTGGGGAGAGACTATAATTTTCAATTGTTGATGCATTTAAAAGATAATTAGAACCAATTTGTCAAAATATCTAATGGAAGCAAATTATAGTGGCACTTAGGCAGTTCCTCATAAGATTACATGAAATTTCATTTTTGAACTTATATAAACTTTCAAAAACATTTTTTTTAATTGAATCCACATCTTCATCAAATGGTACAACCTACTCCATAGATCATAGCATCCCCACGTAATGGAATAGTACATAAATTCACGTAAGCATTCACCAAAATAAAACTTCATTAAGATTCTTGTTTTCCCAATATTTTTTTTTTTTTCATATTTTTCAACTTACAGTCACATAATATCATAGATATAACCAAAAAAAAAAAGAAAAAGAATCAATGAAGAATGTCAAGTGCATGCACTATCGCCTCTTGGGGTCAATTCCACCATAGTACGTCTCGATTTAAACAAATAGCAATTGGCCTTTTTACCTACTTTTAAAATCCTGGCCTGCCTTGAAAAAAATCATTGGATTAAAAAACTAAAGGAAATAAACCATCCACAAAATGGGAATAGATGAGAGGTTTGAATATTTTTCCCACAAAAGAAGAAAAACATCAACATTATTAAGCTGCGTGCTGCCTACCACCTAGTGAACAATGAATGTTGGAAACAATGAAAATTTGCACAAAATGAGTAATGTGTTGAAACAAGGGCTTAATGGCCAAGTCCAGAGCTTTAATTAGAAACACCTTGTCACTCTTAACCACACTTGGAGTCTTTTGACCCACTTTTGTTTTCATATGAATCATGAACAAGTGAAGTCGACAGTCCACATCTTTTTTCTTTTTTCTGGCATGATATCTTGAGGATTTTGTTCCATTGAAACCCAATGGGAACAAGACATCTAGTTGGAAAAGTATCCCCGACTAGATATTGGAATTTGTAACTTGTTGAACTAGAATCTCTGTGCCTATGATAGGCCTTTTTTAGTGCAATGTTGAAACTGAAACAGTTGAAGCAAAACAAAGTGTGGATTCGGAATTATGTTTAAATATACAATATGGGTTTTAGGAGTTCATACAAAGTTTTATAGCTAAAAAGCGTAGTATTAGGCTATCAGCCGCACAACATTGACAACCAACATAAAATAAAAGTTGTTTATATAACCCACTACTGTTTCATTCAAAGTCACGGTCCATGAAATCAGCCGGAGCATAGCAAAAGAAAAAGAAAAGAAGGCGGCCGAAGGATTTTATATTAAGAAGGGAAGAGAATTGTCAATGCAATGAACTTCTGGTTCGCCATTATTTTAGAATTTCAGCATATTCTGTTCAATCAATGGCTGTTCTTGTTGCAAACAAAATTATGTTTCTTCACGTGAATACATGGCATGAAAGATGAAGCATTGAAACCCCTACTACTCCCTAGATCACGAATCCAGTACTTGTTCTGAGTTCTGATGGAAAATTGCATTTCATGTCAGTACATCAGCAGGCCTTTTGATTATGAGAAGGAATTTATAGATAGGTACCTCTACCATAAAACTTAGCATTAGATAGTGTAACTGAGGTTAAGAAACCTTTCATTTGGAAGCCAGATCAGCTTTCTTAGACACCGTGCCTTGTTGATACCCTTTCTCCATATTGCCTATCATAGCTGGCTACTAATAAAACATGAAGAAACAATTTAAAAATATGAATTTTCAGTTTTCCCTTAATTACTTAACCATTAAAATAATCAAAGAGCTGATAAGCTGCTTTACATGATGACATTTTGGTGATACATTTGCAAAGGTAGATCAACGAATTGTTGATCTTATACTGGATTCATTGTATCAAACAATGAAAAGAAAAGAAAAGAAAAGAATTCAGGGTTTAATTTCTTATAATCAAAATTCAACAAATCTGCAAACAACTAGGAGAATTGCAATGAGGGGAAATATGTTTCCAAACGCGAGCGTCTGACTGCAAAATTGTTGCAATCATACCACGCAAAACCCATTTTCACAGCCATTCTGCCAACATTTTAGAAGACACAAGTGAGGTGGAGTGGAGTGGGGTGGGGTGGGGTGTGTTGGTTACAGGAAAACAACCTTTGCTTCCTCCTTGGAGCAACAAGGATTCATCTGCTGAGATTGCATTCAAATTCACGATGGGTGGCAACTGCGAAAACTGTAGCCGATAAAATTGTGGTTGCTAATTCAGAAACCACACAGGGGATCTGAAATTGGGTCATATCAGGTTTTAGTCTAGGAGGCAGAATGAGACTCCTTGGTAAAAGGCATCCCCACAATTCATTCAAATGTCATAACCTGGCATTGCAAACTGGGATGCAAAAGTCTCAACTTGTGTTCGGAGCTCCAAAAGATCCTTATTATTGTGGAGACTCTTCAAGGAGGCCTTCTGCAATTTCCCATGATCACGCTGCATCATACTGGCAATATGTGCAGCTCTAAGGAGAAAGTCAGCAATTGTCTCGAAATCAGACTCTAGGCAACCTCTCGATGTCATAGCAGGAGTACCTGCAGAATTCAACATGAAAAGTCATTATAATAGCCTACACCTCCCTCATCAAGGGTTAGAAACTTGCAAACTTCAATTAAATGAGATCTACACTTACCAATCCTTACTCCTCCAGGAGTAATGGCACCATTATCACCAAAAATAGCGATTTTATTCAGAGTAACATGACACATCTCACAAACCTTTTCATAAATTTTACCTAGCAATAAAAAACATTAGAAGATTAGGCATGCTCTGACATAGAAGAGAGTTGGGATACATGTAATAATTCTATCAGCTAACAGAAAACTAAATACAGGCGGGTGCCAAAAGGCATGCTCCCAACAGATAAAATACATGAACAAACAAAAATGTCTAAATTCTATGTCTGTGTATGTGAAAGAGAAGCAAAGAGAAGATGAGATCCATTATTCTAGACACTTAAACTTTGAAACTTGAGTTCTTTTTATAACTTGAACAATTATAGCATTTAAACCATCCCCAATCAACAGAAGAAATGAAATCATAGAGAAGTTCCGCAAGCACATGCAAGAGTTGTCTGTTTATTTTCTACAAAAGTAGGCAATAAAATACATCCCCTGACTGACTGAAGTCAAGTAAAAATTTGGAGCCAATTATTCTCAATCAAATTGCACACATAACAAGAAAATATTTATTTCCATTTCCTCATCTAAAGCACCAGCTAAACTTGTTTATTTTTTTAACAACTGAAAGTAACAATATTTTCTGCTTTGGGCCACTGGACAAAACAGCACACAGCCCCCCTACTGCCTCCAAAAAAAGACATACATAAAATAGAGGGAAAGATATAAAGAGGGAATCAAAATAGTTGGTCCATTCGATACTCATATTTTCTTAGCCACAGGAGTTTATTATCTCTTAAAGGCCATTACAACATCTATTGCAAGCACAAATTACCAGAAACATGATAAATAATCAATCCCCCAGTTAATTAAACCAAGAAAGTCAACATTAGCAATCAAAAATACAAAATTAGGTCAAGTCCTAACTGTCAAAATGATCTTTAAATTAACAAGAACAACATAAAATGAAAAACAAAAATGCAAAAGCACATGTAGGTTCAACTTTACATCATATAACAATTATTTTAATTTGAAGGAGATTGCCAACAAAGCGTTCTACCTGTCAACCCAAAAGGTCTTAGATCCCAGAGTAACAAATGGTTGTCCGTGCCTCCAGTAATTAGCCTGCATTTTCTTCTTAACAATGCAGATGCTAAAGCCTGAGCATTTTTCTTCACTTGATGCATATAAGCCTTGTACTCTGGTGTAGCCACTTGCTTCAACGCTATGGCAAGAGCAGCGATATGATTATTATGCGGTCCACCTTGCAAAGATGGAAAAACAGCAAAGTTTATCTTTTCCTCAAAATCATATTGATCATTGTCATCTCCTTGGCTTAGGAGCATCCCTCCTTTCCTTGGCTTTGTACCCTTCCTATAGAAAATTATACCTCCTCTGGGACCTCGGAGGCTTTTATGGGTGGTTGAGGTAACAATGTCACAGTAGTCAAAGGGGTTCGCAGCTTCCTGTAAAAGTATCAAACAGCATATTATTTAGGATTAGTTTCCTATAAAGCCGACAGCTGTTTTAAAATTTTCAAAATTGATAGCCTGAAACAAGCCAATGAAGATAAATTCATAGGCATGTCCAAAAATGAAGTTATTCAACCATCTCTAACATAAATCCAATGAGAAAACTAAAAAACTCATGAATGCACTGAAACTAGAATAGTATCTCCAACTATAAAGTTCCATATCACCACAATAGCTACACCAGTCTGAATAGGTAGTCTGCACTAACTAGAATTGCTTATATTAATATTAGTTGCATTAGATACCACCTTTTATATTTAAGAAGTAAACTGCACCTAAGATCCTCTAAAAGACTAGCCTTACGAGATTTAAGAAAACAATAGCACGGTAAGTGGATTTTCTAATAAATTTGAACTCAAAAGGTAAAGTGGAATACTGGATCTAGTATTGGTCTAGAATAGAGCCAAGCAATGTAATTAAACTCCATCATCAAATTCATCAGTGAAAAGTGTCTGCCACTAACACATAAAGCTAACCACATAAAGGAAAGCACCTACTAAATAGTAGAAATTCACAGTTTCACACCTTAGCAGCAATAAGACCACTAATCTGAGCCATGTCACACAGCAAAACAGCACCACACTTATCCGCAATTTGTCTGAACCTCGCATAATCCCATTCCCTCGGATAGGAACTCCCACCACAAATCAATATCTTGGGCCTAAAATCAAGTGCCCTTTCCTCCAACTTCTCATAATCAATATACCCAGTTTGCGGATTCACTTTATATGGCAAACTCTCAAAAAATATTGATGCACCAGACACCTTCCTCCCATTTGGAGTATAATATCCGTGACTCGTATTCCCTCCAGACGGCGTATCCAATCCCATGATCCTATCTCCAGGCAACAGCAACCCAGTATACACCGCAAAATTGGCTGAGGTACATGAATAAGGCTGCACATTGACTCCCCAGCCCTCTGCATCAAGCCCAAAAGCTTCCAATGCACGTTTCCAACAAAGGGTTTCGATTTCATCAATGTACTGGTTCCCGCCATAATACCTTGCTCCTGGCATACCTTCGGAGTATTTGTTGGTTAAATGGCTTCCAAGAGCATCCATAACGGCCCGGCAAACGAAATTTTCAGAGGCAATCAACTCAATTCCCAGGAACTGCCGCTTTTTCTCCTGTTCCATTATGTCGAACACGTCAGGATCCGCCACGTGGAGTGGCTGGCTGCCCCATGATTTCACGGTTGCTTTCCTCGTCTCAAGATCCGGCTCCACCGTCATTCGCTTCGTCGACGACGACGACGACGACGAACAGCTGTCTCTCCGCCTTTTGAGACACATAGGATGCCCTAATATATGGAATTCTTCCACTTCCTTACTCTCTTCATCTTCGTTGTAACTCTCGCTTTCTTTCAGGTTCCCGTTTTGGAGAGAGTTATGGTTCTCCGTTTGCGGTTCCAGTAGTTGGAGGGGGACTGCTGGGACTGGGTGTGTGGTGTCCCGGGTGTCCAGCTGGAGAGTAATGGAGTCATCGACGATCTGGCTACGGTTGGACGGCGGCGATGGAGATACTAGCCCCAAAGAGAGGGTTGATGAAGTGTCAGTAGATTGAGACGACAAATCCATGGAACATATAAAAGAAAAAGGAAAAAATTTTTGATTGGAGGAATTAAGGTATGGCGCATCAGTAACAGAAACAGGAGCAGTGGTTTAAATTGGAATCCATGTGCAAATTCTGATTTCTCTCTGCTTATATGAAACCCTAACTCTTACCTAACACCTTTTAGCTTGGACCTGTATAGAACGGGTAAAGGCTTGGTTTGTTCGGGTAGGGGGTGAGATTCTGGAACGGGTGGGGTCGACGGGGACAGGTAGATTCCAGGGGATGCACCTGGACAAATGGCAGAGGGGTTTGATGAGGAGGGTGACTGGGAAGTTCGGTTGCCTGTTACCACTTAACCCCCAATTGTTATGGGAAGTGAGAAGACATTACAAATGCGGCTGTTAGGCCCACTTTATGGGTAGGCCAACTTTGTGGCTATATACCATGCAGTGGGCAAACGAACCCATCTTCATGTTCGCGACTTCATCCATATCTATAGGGCACACTTGCCCAATGGTTGGCAAGCCGTGAGCCCACCTAATTTGCCAGAAAACTAATCCATATATCATCCGAGGCGTAGGGGTAGGGGTCCGGCATTCCCATGTTGCCAACTTGCCACGCCTTGCGATTACAGAATGTGAACGACCGTGTACAATTTAACATTTTTATGAAGTCCAAGTATGGCATGAGACTTCTCACGGATTTCATCATCGTCATCATCACATGCCACAAATAATAAAACGTTTTAAATGTATATATTATAAAGTTCTATGTTTTTCTAAATCTTATTCATATGGTATTATTGTAATAAATAAGGTCACATCCCAGTTCACCTAAGTATATATCCAATATCTATTAATCAGAGAGTAGGTGTAAACAATGTGCTTCAAGTATTCAACCAAAAAACATCAACAATAATGCTTGAATAGGAGCTTTAATGTTTGTATTTTCAATATTTATTTTCTTGTAGACAATTTTAAAAGAAATATTTTAAAAAATAGATTAGATAAATTACTTCTACCATGTAATTATAAATCCATCCAGTACTAAAATACCATTTAATTCAATTTACTACATAACTTATGTCTATCATGTAATTATAGTCCATCTAATAATAAAATACCATTTAATTCAACTTGATACATCGTCACGCCTTAAAGTGTTATATGACGTTTGCCTTCAATTTAATTCTAACAAGAAATTTACATAAAAATAAACATAAAACTCGGAACTAAACTAAGTGAACAGAAGGATCAGAACTAGTGTGGCAAATAACCACCCCGCACGCTCCAAGCCTTAGTAGATCATACAAGTGAAAGGCATTGCCTGAGTCTAGCTTCACAAGGAAAGACAACCTTCAACCTTAACGTTTTGTTTCCACGTGAATTTGAATTAACCTTTTATTTGTTTATTTTGAGGGGAGAAAATGGTATTAGTGCATGTGGCCGGGAAGAAAATTTCGAAGGCGTACACATCATCAAACACAGTCAATCGCTTTTGTCGAAATATGATCCCACGGGTAGGCCCCAAAAAACAAACCCGTTTAGATGGATGGGATTCCGCGTCTGCTTTAGCCTCTTCACACGTGCTCATTTCACACCTGCTTCTTGTGACAGCCAGCTATTTGAAGCCTGCAGGCGTACGTCTCTGCTTCCCTCCATTGTAGGTCCCTTCCTTCTGCCAATAGTTTGGCGGCAACTGGCGAAATGTGACCGTTTCTAGGGGGTGCCGGACGTCTGGCACTGAATAGATCAATGGACAGGTGAGTGAAAGCCAAAGGGAGTAGATTTCAAGATACATACTCTCGAGAATGGATTAGAGAGTTCCGGAATTCTGTTGAGTGCTGGAAAAGCGACGGTCTTTAGTTGACGTGGCGACTCTCGCCGAAAGGACGTGTCACGTCATCGTGAAGCGTCGCAGCCTAGCTGCCCCCGTAAGTAATTCAAAATGTTCGAATGACGAATCACGGAATTACAAAAGTATCCTCCGCATTAAGTTAATGTCCTTTTCCGTCCCTACATTTCAACTTCCGGCCCTTGTTAGTTGAATTAAAGGCGGCCGCTGCGTCTAGGTGAAATTATCACTTTAATATTTTTTTTAAGGAAAAAGGTAATTGAAATTTATGAAAGCATCCCTTTAAAAATGTGAAAGATTTAAGTTGTTCTCTGATTATGATCACTGATTAGAAAAAACGCTGGAAATGGGTTCAATTCTAACATAATTTGCTTCCTATCAAATTCTAAAGCTATCAATAACCTTTTCATATTGAAGAGCAAGTAATTCATTGCTAATTCTTGAAATGATATTCTCATAATATCTCAAACTAGTTTAAATTTGAAAATTAAATTTATTAGAGCAACCGCTCTAATTATTTAAGAGATTAACATATTTTAAGAGGTCAATATATCTCTTGATAAGATCAACATACTACATATATTTCAATATTTTAAAAAATTAATATATCTTCTAATAAGATGAACACACAATAAAATAATATTCTAATCAAATTACATTATAAATATATTTAAATTAAAAAAGATTGATTCAAGCTTCAATATTAGATAAGATAACTTGATAAAATTTTATATCTTTAAAGATTTATCCAATCTTATACTTGTACTAAGTAAATAAAAAATTTTATTTTTATCTTTAATATTATTTTTATTCATTTCCTTTTATAACATTCATCATAATTCATTTTTGCTGGTTGGATAGTAACAATGCTATGCTAAATTTTGCAAACCTTCTCATCTCCTCTTTCTTCATGAAAATTAATGCAAACTGTTTATTTTGATACATGAAATTAAATTTTAAAGATAAATAATTTAAGAATGAATGTTATTACTTGTTGAATGAAAAATATATATTTTTTATTAAATCAAATATTTTGTAAAAGTTCAACAAATATATTAAAAAATTAAAATATTGTGCAAAATAACTCTTGTTCAGTACACAGACCCCCAACTACCAGGTGCTTCCATTGATATAAATGGTCAATAAAAGCTGTAACCTAAACTTTGAAACCGTTTCCAGGAATGCGTAAATTCAATTTTATTTGACATCATGTGTCACGTCATCCATGGATAGTTGAATTACTGTTGGCTTTCATTCAAAACATTATATCCAGATTAAATGCTTGAAAAATAAAAACTTAAAATAAATCACATTACATTAAAGAAATAAACATCTACAAAACTTGAATTAAAAGTATTTAAAACGTAATCACATGCTCATTGTGTGACATATTTTATAGGAAAATATCTCCAACTAGTATTGTATTAATACTCGAAGATTCAAATATCCAAATTTTATTATCAATATATTACAATAACGTGTAATGTATTTTTGAAGCTTAAGGTATTTAAACAAAATTTAATCAATAATAAGCAATAATGGAGGATTCATGCCCAAATTTGTAACAAGCACGTGCAAAAAGGTCAAAAGAAGATTGCTTAAAAATTGGAAAAGGGAAGAATAACTCCATTATTAAATTAGATTTTTTTTTAATGATGTGATACTCCAAGGATGAAAAAAAGATCTAAAAAGCATTCAATAATTATCCTCTAAATAAACTTTAATTCAAATCACTTTTCCATAATTCCATTTCATGTATGCACAAAATATGTAGATAAAGATGTTTGTATATATGTAATTATTAATATGTTCCTATCGTTATTACTTCAGCTTTTTTTTTTAAAAAAAATTTCTCGAAGGTATTGATGACAATAATTAATGTTAGCACAAGTGGTCTACATTAGTCAGCCTTTGGATAGCCATCTTTCTTTCTCTCCCCCCACATTGAAAGCGTGGCTTTATGCTTTCCTTTCCTCATGGGTTGACAAAGAAAAGTTGCGCTCTTAAAGGTGAAAGGCTAATTTTTTTGATTATTTTTCATCATAGCTAAGGCTAAGGGTATTCAACTTCCTATTCAATACCCAAGAGAAATTATTATAAAGTATGAAATGGACTGCTTACTCCAAATCCAAATCCCATTATGATCTACGTTTCAAAACTCATAATTATTATTGAATATTAAACTAAGCAAAGCACGAGTATAATTCATTATTAAAGGTTAAATTATTTTAACCTCTAGTTTAGGAAAAAAAAAAAAAAGAGGGTGAGATTTTTCAGTTGCGGTACTTTAAAATTTATTTCACCTAACCCAACTTTTTATTCATGTTTTTACCAAACGGAACCGAAAGAAGTATTTTCTTTCCCTTCACCCAACGAAGGGGTAATAACGTCAATTTTTAAGGCAGAGGGGCAAAAGCAGGTAAAATAGAATAGAGTGCCGTTGGGGCTATGGTCCGACGTGGCAAAGACCCGGATAATCAGGATAAGTAAATTCCATATTACACACATACACACACAATTCCAACACGCTTTATTTTGACAAACATTTCCCATAAAATAAAGAGAGAGAAAGAATAACGAAAGCCAAAGCCAGAGCCAAAGCCAAAGCCAAAGTCTCTCTCTCTTTAAAGCTTTCGAAGCAAGAACAATTCCAACCAACAAGAAGAAGAAGAAGCAAAAAAAAAATAAAAAGTTCATCTCTGCTCCAAGTCTTTCTTTTTGTCTCAATTATTTATAAATAATAAGAAATTTGTTTGATCGATTATTAGAGTGTTGATCAGTTTGGAGTTTGAGGATCATCGTGATTGTGGTATTGTACAGATACGTTTCTTTTTTTTTTTTCTTGTGTAAATTTGGTGTATGTATAATTGATGATGATGATGAAGACGCCGGAAAGTGGGAGAGCGGTGGCGTTGGAATTTCCGGCGAGTGAGAAGCGGTCGTTTTCCCGTGTGCCGAGGAGGATTCGGAAGAGGCTTCTTGCCGAGTGCAAGACTCCTTGTACTGTTGAAGAAATCGAAGCCAAGCTTCGACACGCCGATCTTCGTAGACAGGTAAACTCAGATTTTTCTTTTCTTTTTCTTTTTTGTTCTTTTTTCTTAAATCAAGGTTTCTACATTTTTTTTTAATTTTCTCTTATTTTGGCTGGTTGGTGAGAAAATTAAGAGCAACAAAAGTAACGGAAAGATATTTTTAAGAGTTTTTAATTTTTGAAATAATTATTTTATGAGTTACTTAGGCGATTAAGATATTGTTATAACTGAAATAACTAATTGGTTCAGTCGAGTTGAGTCCTGAGTTTTTGTTTGGAAAAAAAAAATAACAGAGTTCAAGAAGGATCT